CCATTCCTTCCCCACTCCAGGGGAAGGATACTGCAAAATCTGCATTTTCCCCTGATCAGCTGGGGTTCGGGAGGCAGTGAATAGATGGGGGCAGGGCCAAGCAGAGGTGGCATTTGCTGGTTCTCAGAACTACTTTAAATTTCTGCTACTGGTTCTCCAGAACCTGTCAGAACCTGCTGGATTTCCCCCCTGCTATTGCTATGTTATCTAGCTTCCTTGCATAGCCAGGATGTGCTGCGCATGTTTTAGTCATGGACTTCCGATCCTTGAGATAACAGCCTTCCATTCTACAATGGCCACAGAAGTAAAGGAAAAGAGTTCTCTAATATTAGAAATATCCTCTAGATTTCTACTGAGGCCACCAGAGGCTACAGCAAGACCTTCAGCCAACAGATGGTTCCAAATTTGATTCTGACACATCATCATCTCCATTTAACGACCCCATAATCCCTTGCAGGGTGGAGTCTGGGCAACTGATTGCATGCAGAGCCATATTTGGTGCCACGCTGGCCGTTGGTCACATGCACACATCGGCCAGCTGATTTTTCGCCCTTCCGGGGGGCCAGGACAAGCTGTTTTCGCCCTCCCCAGGCTTCAGGAAAGCCTCCGGAGCCTGGGGAGGGGTTGCGCACTCATGCGCACGGGGGGGAAGGGTGTCGTGTGAGCATGCACAGGTGGGCGGGGAGATTGAGTGGGCGCGCACACACGCACGATAGCGGGCACGCACGGAATAGCAATCTTGGCACGCCGTAAGAAAAAGATTTGCCATCCCGGTAATACACCATAGGCCACCTTTCAAAATGGCCTCTAAATTGCAGGTATGAAGACTTCCCCCACGGCTTCCCAAAGTCCACATTCCCTCACAACATGCGGATCAAGATGGGGCATAAATGCCACAAGTGAATAAATGTGGTTTAATTTTAGTATGCAGCCGGACTTTTGTCTATTTCTAATACATCACCATATAGTTTTATGTCCCATGTCAATGCCAATAGATCAGGGGTGAAATGCTCTGAAGTCTGCTACCGGTTTGCTTCCTGTGCGCATGTGCACTCCCCACGCATGTGCGCCGTTCCCCCAAACCAATAGTAAAAAAGTACTACCAGTTCCGACGGTCAGCTCTGCGACAATCAGCTGTGCTGCATGTGTTTTTTTTACTAACAGTTTGGGTGAACCAGTAGCATTTTTACTACCAGTTTGGGTGAACCTGTAGCATTTTTACTACAGTTTGGGCGAACTTGTATCATTTTTTACAACCGGTAGGGGTGAACTTGTAGCATTGTTTACAACCAGTTTGGGCGGAACCTGTGGCATTTTTTACTACCAGTTTGGGTGAACCTGTAGCATTTT